GCCGCTTTCGTGCTCGAGCCCGAATTCGTTGGACGCGGTCAAAGCCCCCATGAGGCCCATGAGGGGAAGCGGATCTAAAGCTGAATGACCCTGGGCGGGCAACGTGCGTTTGTGCTCACAGCTGTTCTCGAGAACGGTGTGCTTTCTCTGTGGACGGAGTTGTCCGTTTACATTTTTCTTGGCACAGTGCTTGTACATCTAGCCTCGGCTTGGCAGTGCTTGTACATTTTTCGTGGAGGCTTGGCTTCCAGCCTCGGTCTTAGCAGTCCGGGAAACAGCTTATGTGTCCCATTTCGTTGTTTTTCTCTTCGCGAGTCATGCCCACTTGTCCTCCAAGGTCGGGGTTCGTGACAATATCAGGTTTAAGTTTGCGAGAGATTCACGGATTGAGGGAAGGTGGTTTTCAAAATGTGGTTCTCGCTTTCGCGCAGCGCACATTCGCGACAACAGTTCGCAAGAAGTTCACGGGTTCCCATCATCAACGTATCATTAATGGTGTTTTGGAAGGATTCAGGATTATGTGGGTGCAACAGTTACGTTGGTTCTCTGTGGTGAAGTCCCTGGGATGGCGTTCTGGCACGATTCAGGATCGTCAGAAAGCAAAACAGTCAGGTTGATCCGTGGCGTTGGAATCCCGAGAATAATGTTTTGACATCCTTCAGTGTCTGCAACCGGTTGTCTTCCAACGAGGCAGTTTCCTCAATGGAAATGAATCGTTGTAGGGGCCTATGAAGAGGGAGCTTGGAGGGAGCGTTTATTCCAACATCGTTGATGGCTCTTTGGTTTACACTGGTCCTCCTCCTCCTCCTCCTCCTCCTCCTCCTCCTCCTCCTCCTCGCCTCCTCCTCCTCCTCCTCCTCCTCCTCCTCTTTCTCCTCCTCCGCCTCCTCCTCCTCCTCCGCCTCCTCCTCCTCCTTCCTCCTCCTCCTCCTCCTCCTCCTCCTCCTCCTCCTCCTCCCTCCCTCATTTCCATCGCGCGAAAGCGCGGTGCCTGCCACATCTGCCCAGGAGGGTGAGGATGTGTAGGTTTTGTCGCCTCCCCCGGTGCGTCCTCCTCCGCTGCGCTCCTCCCTCCCTGGAGCCGCCTGGGGGTCTGAGGTGGCCCAGCACTGGTTTTAAATCGGGCCTGTCCCTCTACAAAAGGAACATTCAACAATAGTCCAAAAATAGTCGGATGAGGATTGTACGACTAGTTTTGACTATTTTTGAATGGTTTGGGACTATTTCCCATTCTTTGCCCAAAATCTGCCTGTAGGGGGACAAGCCCGACTTAACACTGGTTCCGGCCAGCAAGGAGGGCGGGCAGATTCGAGGTTCTGGATTCGGGAAGGTTTTTGTTGTTGCTCGACCTCCAGGGGCCGATTTCTCGTCGCGGAAGCGCGCAGCGCTTTCAGCGTGAGAAAACGGATGGGCGACCGGAGCTTTCTGGCCGCTCCTCCGCTCATTGTCTCACTCGCCCTCGGGTGTAGCTCCTGGTGGAGCTGGTGGTGCGTGGCCTGGCGGCACTTCTCCGCCACCTCGCCTGTCTCTCACACGCCTGGCGCTCTCGGTGAGGGCGGCGGTGTCCGTCCGTCTGTCGGTCTCGGTCTGTCTGTCGTTCTGCCTGTCGGTCTGCCTGTCCGCCTGTCTGGCCCCAGGGCCGCGGTCGCCGCGTCCGCCCTCGTGCGGGGTTGGTCGTGGCGGCCCGCGTGTCGCGGTGCCCGTGGTGGCGGCCGCGGCCCGCCTCGGTGCGCTGCCTCAGGGGGTGGTGCGCTATGGGCGCGCTGCGTCGGCAGGGCGGCCCTGCTTGCTCCGCTGTTTCCCCCCCGCCCGCCCTGGCATTTCTGTGGCGCGTGGTGTCCGTGGCCGCGCCTGGCTGGACTCGGGTCGCCCCGGAGGCTCCCGGCCCGGCAGCGGGTCCCGTCTGCCCCGGCAGCTCCCGCGTAGCTTCTCCTGTGCAAGCTCTTCGGCACCGCCTGCACCCCAGGCTCCGCCTGCTCCGGCCGCCTGAGGCCCCGCCTTCCCTAATCAAAGCTGCGCGTGGCCCGCCTAGCCTTTAGCGGGAGAGGTTCGCTCTCGCCCCGTCGACCACAAAAGTCCCGGCAGCTCCCGCGGAGGTCGTCGACGGTGTCTTCGGGACACCCAGGACCGTCCAAGACAAGTCCAGGATGACAAGCTGCACCAGGTGGACTCCCGGGAGGTGTCCAGAGGCCGATTTTGATCGGATTTGGACTCCTTCCCCCTCCTGCTGACCCCCCGGCCGCCTCCCTCCCCCTCCTGTCTGACACATCCTCGGCGGCGCGCTTCGAGAGGCAACCACGGGCAGCAGGCGCGCTTCGCGGCGCCGCCGTGGGGGGGGGGCCACGTGTGTGGTGGCAAGTGCGGGTCCTTTCACTGTGCCAGCTGGGACTGTGATAACACATGGTGGGGGCTGTGTTCTATGTGGGACAAAATCCTCTTGGCTTCAAGGAGGCGGCCAGCCCAATGTGGGGCGTCCCAAGAAAGGGCCTTGCCTTCGAGGATCGAGGGAGTTGTCATCTCTTCCTCGTCGGAAGGCGGCGGAAGGCCGGCGGAAGCAAAACGAGGCCGCCTCCGCCGGCGGAAGCGGGCGGAAGGCGGCGGAAGCTCGGCGGAAGGCGGCGGAAGCAAAACATGCGCCCCAAGGAGGTGAAAACGTTTTTGGGTACAGGGTTTCCGAAATCGCCCACCTGGTGGGGGCTGTGTGTTCTGCGTGGGGGAAAATCAGGAGGAAAAAAACACAGAGACACAGTGAATCGTCGATTCCCCCGAACAGATGGGAAAGTATGGGAAGTGGGGGGGGAAGAGGAAAGCCCCCAAAAAAAGGAAAGGATGGGAAATCTTGCTATTTGTGTGTATTTATGTGTGTGCCCCAGGGCCCCTTCAGAAAAGTCCCCTTGCCTCCCGGGGGCGTCGGCCCCATGCGTGCCCGGCCGGGGCCACGGGCGATCGGCGCCCGGGGCGAGGGAAGCGCCAGCCAGGAGGGGCCTCCCGGCACCGACTCCGGCGGGCCGGGGTCGGGCGGGAGGAGCGGAAGAGGAGGCGGAAGGGGAAGCGGAGGAGAAGTGGAGGAGGAGGCGGAGGAGGAGGAGGAGGGAAGGAGGAGAGAGAAGGAGGAGGGGGCGGAATAATAATAATATTAATAAGAATAATAAGAAGAAGAAGAAGAAGAAGAGGAGGAGGAGGAGGAGGAGGAGGAGGAGGAGTAGGGGGGCGGAGGAGGAGGGCAGAGAAGGAGGAGGGTGGAGGAGGCGGAAGGCGAAGGAGAAGGGAGGAGGAGGAAGGAGGAGGAGGAATGGCCAAAGGGTCAGCATAAAGTGAACAGCAACCTTTTGGAGTTCATGGAACCTCCAGAAACCGTTTTGGAAGTTGTTGACCGTTTCTCCGCCTCCAGAGGCATCCAGGAACCTCCAGAGAACAGGCCTTCTGGGTGGGCTGGATCGATAGCACCAGCAGGCTTGATGTTGGAACGTGCATCCTGCACGAGGCCGTACCCTCGCTATGGGGGGGCGTCCATCCTCGATATGGGGTGCGTCCGAATAGCCCCTCTTGGGGGTGTATCCCGGGGCCTCCCTCATTTTTCTGAGCGGCTTCATTGTTCGTCGAAAAATCGGGGGTACCTTATGACTGCGCCGGTCCATTTCACGGAGCCGGCGTGAGACACGAGAGACGCCGGGGCCAAAGAATTTTTTTGGGGGGGCAAAGGATTTGTTAGGGCCCAAGAAAATCTGTGGCCCCAAAAAAATCTCTGGAGGAGAAGAATCGCCTGCGAGAGAAGGCAGACCTTCCCCTGACCTCCACCCTCCGCACCTCCTGCACGGCAGATGCCGCACAGCGGCCGCCGCCAGCGCGGCCGCAGAAGTGGCAGCCGTCGAGGCCGCGGCGGCGATCTCGGTGGTCGCCGCGGCCGCGCCGCGGCGGCACCTGCTGCGCGGAGGGCTCGGCATGCGTTTTGCGTGGCTAGGTTTTGCGTGGCCGGATTCTTCCACACCTTCAACTACTTTCTCGCGCTTCGCGCGAGGGCGGTTGGGCGTCGTGCAGCCTGCTCGCCATCAACACCTACGGGCTCGGCATGCGGAGGTCGAGGGATGTAAGAGGCGTGCGGGCAGGAGAAGGGGAGGGAGCTTGCGTGTGCAGGGGAGGAGGTCCTCACACGCCCTTCCACTCCGCTCTCCTCCACCTCCCCGGTCTCCATCCTCGGGACCTTCCGCGCGGCCGACACCACCACGGCGCGTCCGCGGCGGCGGCCGCTGCTGCGGTGGTTGCCGCTGCGGCTGTCGCTCTAGCCGCCGCTGCGGTTGCGGCGCGTGCCGCCGCTGCGAGGCCTCTGCCGCCTCGGAGCCCCTCCCGCCTGTTCGGCCCGATCGAAGGGCGACGGCCTCGGGACCCAAGAGGGCTGACCCGTGGCGCTGCGCACAGCGCAAAGTCTGCCTCCCCCAGCGGAGGGGCCCCAGACATCGGGACCTCGCCAGAGGTCCCCCGAGCCAGGCGTAGGTCGAAGGCTATCTGCCTGGAGGGCGTTCGGGCTGCACTCTGGAAAGCCAGGGGAGCTGGCCTTCCTTGCCTTCTCGGATCGCCGCACACTCTCCAGAGCCCCCGCCCCCTCCTCGCAGGCGCGATGGCCGTCGTCTGGCCACTTGCAAAACAGGAACAAAATAATCTGAAACAACCAAAGATATTCAAAAAAACAACAGACAAAAAGAAACGCAAAAACTCCCCAACGGCGCGATCTCAAGAGGGCTGCGCCTTCCGAGTCCGCCCCCCACCCCCTGCCCCACCACCCGCTCGGCCGCCGCCGACGGCGTCGATCTCGGCGTATCGGCGTCGACGCCATCGTCGTCGTCGGCGGCCCGCCGCCCGCTCGACCGTCGTCGTCTCCGCGGTCGTCACCCTCGTCACCGTCGTTTCCAGCGCCCGCGCCGTGGGCGGCTGCGCCGATCAGCGCCCTCGTCGCCGTCCGTGGCGGCGGCGTCGGCGTCAGCCTCTGCCCCTCGTCGCCCCAGGGCTTCCCGGCGCCGCAGGCCGAGCAGGCCTGCCCGAGCGACGACGACGACGACGTCGACGACGGCGGCGGCCACGGCCACGATGACGGCCACGGCCACGGTGGCGGCCACGGCCACGGGGGGGAATCACCATCACCACCCTCGTCATAATCACCCTGTTCAACATCGTCATCATCATCAGCAGTAGCAGTACCATGTTCATCAGTATCACCATCATCATCGCCATAGCCACCATCAACATCATCACCACAATCAAAATTATACTTCCCCTTTGTCATCCTCATCCCACATCCGCCCACTTATCTCCACCCCAACTCCCACCCTCCCCCACCCTCTCATATCGAAGACGCTTACGGCGAATCACCGCCGCCCCCTGCCTTTTTGGAAGCGCCTATGTGGCCGAACGTTGAGGCCAGACTTGCCAAGCTATCGGACCATGTGTTCCCCGAATCGGTTTGGAAAGCGTTCGGGGACACGTAGGCATCTTGAAGGTCATCTTGGCTGCCTGGAGGCCATTTTCACCCTTCCGGGCCTTCTTGGAGGACGTCTTGGAGGGCTCTTGGGCCGTCTTGGAGGCCATCTTGAGCGTCTTGGAGGCCTCTTGGGCGATCTTGGGGGCCTCTTGGGGCCGTCTTGGGCCTCTTGGGCGATCTTTGGGGGCACTTGGGCCGTCTCGGGCCGTCGGAAGGCCGAACAAAAGCAAATGCCACAATCCTTTGAAAGTTCATGGGAAATCAATAATGTTGGCCTTTTCGGGCCTTCCTGGAGGCCCTCTTGGAGGCCTCTTGGGTCATCTTGGGCCATCTTGGTGCCATCTTCTGCCGTTTTGGTGAGCCCCTGGCCCGTCCGACGCCGTCGGAAGCCGTTTGGGTGGCCTTTCTGGGCCGATTTGGGGCCCTCTTGGGGTGCTCCAGGGCCGTCTTAGAGGCCATCTTGGGCGTCTTAAAGCCTCCTGGGCCGTCCTGGGGGCCTCTTGGGGCCGTCTTGGGGGCCTCTTGGGCCGTTCTGGGGCCATCTTGGAGGCCTCTTGGGCGATCTTTAGGCGATATGTGGGGGCTCTTGGGCCGTATCGGGCCGTCGGAAGGCCGAAACGAAGCAAATGTTAAAATCCTTCAAACCCCAGAGAAAATCAGTGGTTTTGGCCTTTTCTGGCTTTCCTGGAGGCCCTCTTGGAGGCCTCTTGGTCCGTCTTGGGCCAGCTTCGAACCAACTTCGACCATCTTTGTGTGCTCCTGTCCCGTCTGACGCCGTCGGAAGCCGTTTGGGGGGCCTTTCTGGGCCGATTAGGGGCCCTCTTGGGGTGCTCCAGGGCCGTCTTAGAGGCCATCTTAAACGTCTTGGAGGCCTCTTGGGTCGTCTTTGCGCCCTCTTGGGGCCGCCTTGGGGGCCTCTTGGGCAGTCCAGAGGCCATCTTGGAGGCCTCTTGGGCGCTGTGGGGGCGATCTTGGGGGCCTCTTGGGCCGTCTTGGGTCGTCGGAAAGCCGAGAAGAAGCGAATGCCAAAATCTTTTTTTGACTTATGGAAAATAGGAGTGCTTGCACGTGATTGTCTGGGCCGCTCCATGGTTTTTGATTTTTCTCAAGTGCATGAGTGGGGCTGGGCCATGGCCCCGGGCGGCGCCGCCACGCTCGCGGTGAGCGCCGCGGTGGGGGCGCCGGCTGCCTGGGCCGGGCTGCGCTGGGCGACGAGCTGGCTGGCGGCGCTGGTGGCCGCCTCGACCAGCTGCCCGTCCTGCGTGTGCCACGCGCCGCAGTGGCCCCCGCCCGCGCCGCCGGCGCCGCCTCCACCGCCAGCGCCAAGCGCCGGTGCGGTGGCCGCGGCCGTGGCGCAGAAGCTCGGGCCCTGGCTGGCGGCGAACTCCTCGCCGGCGCCGGCCACCTGCCCCTCGGCCGACGGGGTGGCCGCGGCGCTGCTGGAGCGGCTGCCGCCCCAGGGGCCTGAGGAGGCCCGTGCGGCGCCGTCCGCGCCCGAGGCAGGCCCAGCCGTGGGCGAGGGCTGTCCCTTCGCCTTCATCTTGGCGTGGGGGGTCGCCTGCGGGGAGGCGGTGATCTTGGTGTGCTGCTGCGTGGCGGCCCGAGCCCGTCGGAATGATCGCCCCGCTCCCCCGCCGCCGCCGCGGCCCGACGACCTTGGCCGCGGACGGCACGCTCGTCGAGGTGGGGGCGTGGTGCAGTGAGCTCCGGCCAGGGCGCCGAGTCGGGCTCTGGTACCCACGCGACACGGTGTGGCATGAGCGAGTGCTACTCTACCCCGCGGAGGGCACGTGCTGGTGGGTGCTGACGCCGGACGGCGACCGGTACGCCGAGGACGTGTCGGGTTCCGTCGGCGACGGCTGCAACAGGGCCTTCACCGTCGCGCTGGATGGCACGGCGCCCGCCTTGGCCCACGGCGCGTTCTACCGTTTCGCGCAGCCGCTGACCTGGGAGGAGCTGCGCGCCGCCGTGCTCAGGTCGAGGACTGATCAGCAGGAGCACGTTGGCGACGAGCCGCTGGTTGACCCCGCGGAGGTCTACACTTGGGCGGGTGCCCCCCGCCCGTTCGGGGTCCTCCGACGTCGCCTTCCGCCGCGGGGGGCCAGGGACGCTGTCGGAGGAACCGACACCCCTCCTGGTGGCGCTTCGCCCTCGGCGGGCGCTGATGAGGCAGTCGTTCCCTCCCCTCCAACACTGGGGCCGCCTGAGGGATGCTGCTGGCTGGTCAACTCGCCCGGCCCTCTTCGTCTGGGAGCCGAGGTGGTGCTGGAATCTGGCGGTGTCAGGCTGGACGACGACCACGCAATGGCGAGGGAGGCCGGCGTTTGGCAGCTCGCGGAGGCGATCCCCGTCGGCGCGGCGGACACCTTCAGAGACAGGCGCCCGAGGGAGCTACTCGGGCTGGTCGAGAGGGACCTGCCCGGTGATGCTCGTGCGGGGGGGCCGCCGCTGCCGCCGCCGGCCTTGCCATCTGGCGGCGAGGCCGACCCCGCGCGCGGAGCTGCCGAGGCCGCCGGTCCCAGCGCTGGCGATCAGGACCTGAGAGACAGGCTGGGGGTGCCCCCCCCGGAGGGGGCGCGCGAGGCGGACTCGGTCGATGACGCGAGGACGCCGCGGGTTCAGCACGACGAGCAGGGAGACCGCCACAAGCCGTGGCGCGAGGTCGTCCGCGAGATCAAGAAGTACACGTTCAAGGACTGGCCGCTTGAGGACGGCCTCAGCACGGTGGAGCACATGGCGAAGCGCTGGGAGCAGAACGGCGGCCCCCCTCTGCTCTGGTTGGACCTGCGGGCGCGGGACCGCCAGCTGAGCCAGACGGACCGCAGCTACATCGAGATGAAGTGCCTGCTCACGTCGATCTTCTACGCGGGAAGCTACGACCAGGTCAACCTACCCAGCATGGCCAGCATTGAAGCGTTGCGTCGTCGGGTGTCGCAGATCGTCGAGGCCTACTCGGGCGATCCTCACAAGCCCCCGAAGTGGGGCGGGCTGCGGCACTACATGGGCGCGGCAGGCCCGATGGACGTGATTGACCCAGCCTTGAGGACCGCAGTCTTCCGCCGCAACAAGGAGGAGATGGAGCTGGAGAATTGGAAGAGCCGGGTTGCCGGGCTCCCTGCGCCCAGCCCCCTGGCGCTGGAGGCCGGCGAGGGGCTGCCGAGCGGGCCCTCCGGCGGCGCCGACGGGCGCGGGCGCGGCCGCGGCGACGGCCGGGGCCGCGGCGCAGACGGGCGCGGCCGCGGCGCTCCTGGAAGCGGCGGCGGGCGTGGGGCGGCCGGGCGCGGTGGGAGGCTCACCGCGCCCGAGGGGGCATGACTGCCCCCGCCGGCGGGTTTGGGCGCCCCGCCGGTAGCGCACAGCCCAGTCGTGAAGTCGGGGTGGACCTGCTGTCGGCGTTCCCCCTGCCGAGGCTGAGCGACCATGAGAGGGATTGGCCGCAGCTCCAGGGCCGTGGGGCTGCTCGGCTCGCCAGGCGAGCCTGCCAGGACTTCGACGAGGTCGTCGACGCCTTGAATTGGTTGATGAACCGCACCTCCACAGGCGACAGGCCGAATTTTGACCATATGAAGGTGCACGCGCGGATCCTGGAATGCGTGGCTGAGCGCATGCCGCCGATGGAGACCGCGATCCCTTCCCCGCGAGCGGCCTTTTCTGAGCTGCTGCACGGGCGCAGTGCCTACGACGAGTCGGCCGGACGGAACGTCGGACGTCTTCGCAATGTGGGGCAGATATCTTTGCCTAAGACCGCGGTGGGAGGGCCACGGCTGTTGGACATCGCCCCTGCCCATGAACGCCATTTTTTCGAAGACGGTTTTTCTCGGATGCTTCTAGATGAGGCTAGTTTACGTTGCCGCCTTGATGAGTGCGATGTCATTCCTTACTGGGACCCCTCTCTGGCTCGCAACCGCAGACTCTACGTCCGCCTGGTGAAGCTCCTCTACGCCAAGGGCCTTCTGGTGCTCCTGGACGAGAGTGAGCGGCGCGAGGACGTCGGGATCTTTTTCGTCTCCAAGAAGTCAGACCAGCTGCGCCTCATCATAGACGCTCGGCGCAGCAACCTGCACTTCACCTCGCCCCCTGGGGCGTCGCTCGTGACGGCCGAGGGCCTCGCTCGCATCGAGGTGGAGGGCGTCGAGTGCGGCGGCCAGCCGGACCTCGGTTTCACGCTGGGCACCTCCGACATCAGTGACGCCTTCCATCGGTTCAGGATCGACCGCGGGCTCTCCTCCTATTTCTGCCTCCGCCCCGTGACAGCGCAGGAGATCGGGGTGACCGGCAGGACCATCGGGGACAGCGCCGCGCCTCCCGACCGCCGCCTGGTGCCAGCCTGCGCCGCCCTGCCGATGGGGTCACCTGGTCGCTCTATTTCTGCCAGGAGGTGGGCGAGGCCGTCATGGACGCCACGCCCGGACTGGAGCGGGCCCACCGCATGAGCGACCGGGGCCCTACGACAGCGCTTCGGCCGTCGGCCCAGCTGGCCGAGGGAGGAGGCGCTCAGTATACGTACGTCGACAACCTCGGGGTGATGGGCTTCGACGGCGCAGAGGTATCCTC